TTTTCTCTTGAAGATTTATACTAATCTAGAGATTTATACTCATTTCTAGATCTTTTTTTCAAGTGCATTGTCTCAATTAGCAAAGTGTCTCACTTACCAGCTCAACACTGCAAAAATGATCTCAAAATGAGTAAAAAATTTCTTAAATTAAGGGTATTTACCCTTATTTTGAGCAGGTAAATAAGATTATTTGCCAATAGAATGAGTATTTTTACTCTTAAAATGAGATAATTAGATAATATGCACTTGAAATCAGACAATGATTTCATTTTTTTTGCAGTGCACTCCTATAAACATCTCTGTATCTGTGTAATATGCCTCTAAACAGGAACATTCTTATCGTCTTTACCCTGAAGAATGAGGTTCCGATGGGAAGTCCCTCTGGAACTTCTGCTACAAACGGCAGGTTCAGGAAGGTTGGATCGTTATCATTAAGATCCAGCAGGTTGACAAACACTGTGGTGCTGGCTGTTGCACGCAGTGGAGGTGTGCCTCCTACAGAGGGCGCCAGAAGGGAACATAAAACAAATCACACAGAGGAATACAAAACACAAAAGAGAATATGTTTCCATTAGTAGAGTCCATCAACTCAAAAAAAAATCCTATCTTTGTTGTCTTGATAAGCTGCACACATTCAGATGAACATAAACTACTCACGGTCCACAGCAGACACTACGATGCTCCTCATGAGGACCGTGTCTCTGGAGTTTGAGCTTTCCCTGTCCAGAGTCATCCCGCTGGTGCGGATCTTCCCTGTCCTGCTGTCGATGGTGTAGAAAGGGTTTGCAGGACTGATGGCGTACGTCACCGTCCCGTTTTCCCCGTTATCTGGATCCACTGCCAACACCTTCAATGTAGACAAGAGAGGGAAAGTGAAAATAACATGCAGATTTAGAAAGAGGAAGGATTTTTGATGAAAATGGAAGGAGGGAAGGAGACTGTCTGCTGTGTTTCTTTCTCTTCCTAATGCTGTTTTTCTTTACCGATGTTCTCCACACTGGAAAAATTATTCAGAAATAAGTAAAAAGTTCTTAAATTGAGGTTATTTACCCTTAATTTGAGTAGGTAAATGAGATAGTTTGCCAATGGAATGAGTATTTTTACTCTTAAAATAAAATAATTAGATAATATGCACTTGAAATAAGACAAAGCAATTGTGTTTTCTTATTTTAAGTGTAAATTGTCTTGTTCCGTTGGCAAAATGTATCTTTTTCCTCCTCAATCCAAGAACAAAAGCACTTATTTTAAGAAAAAATTACTTATCTAGGTTTGATTTTTTTTCCCAGTGCAACAAACCTCTACACTGCAAAAAAATTGAAATCTAAATAAGTAATTTCTTTCTTAAAATAAGTGCATTTTTTCTTGAATTTAGGTGGCATGTGAGACACTTTGCCAGTAGAACAAGACAATTTACATTTAAAAAAAACAAAAAAACAATTACATTCTCTTATTTCAAGTGCATATTATCTAATTATCTTATTTTAATACCAAAACCACTCATTCTATTGGCAAATAATCTTATCTACCTGCTCAAATTGAGGGGAAATACACTTAATTTAAGACATGTTTACTTATTTCTAGATCATTTTTGCAGTGTAATGCATTCAAAGCAAAAACAATCTGAAAATAAGTACAAGGTGCCCTTAATTTGAGGAGATAAATTTGTATATTTGCCCTTAAAATAACATAATTAGACATTATGCACTTGAAATAAGACATTGCAGTTTTGATCAGTTTTAATCCACACACTGTTAAAAATCTAGATACAAAGAAGTAATTTTTTTCTAAAATAAGTGCATTTCTTCTTGAATTGAGGACGTAAAAGAGACAATTTACATTTAAAATGAGAAAACACAACTGCACTGTTTGATTTCAAGTGTATATGATCTAATTATCTTATTTTAAGAGTAAAAATACTCATTCCATTGACAAATAATCTTATTTACCTGCTCAAATTAAGCATAAATATACTTAATTTAAGAAATGTTTACTTATTTCTAGATCGTTTTTCCAGTGCATTGTCTCAATTTGCAAAGTGTGTCACTTACCAGCTCAATTCAAGACAAAATGCACTTATTTTAAGAAACATTGCCTTACTTAGAATTACTTTTTTTGCAGTGATTAGAGATATGTTTATATTTATAATTCCTTTGCACACAGCCAGAGGCTATTTTCTCTATATTTGATTTACACAGGCAGTTTGGTTAGATTTAATTTAATTTATTTTGCCATAACCAGGGCTCTGAGTGCAAAGGATCACCTTGCTTTTCAGATTTCTCCTCTTCACTGGAAAAACAATCTAGAAATAAGTAAAATGTTCTTAAATTAAGTGTATTTACCCTTAATTTGAGTAGGTAAATGATATGATTTGCCAATGGAATGAGTATTTTTACTCTTAAAATAAGATATTTAGATAAAATTCACTTGAAATAAGACAATGCAATTCTGTGTTCTTATTTTAAATCCAAATTTTCTTGTTCCATTGGCAAAATGTCTCCTTTTCCTTCTCAGTTCAAGAACAATTGTACTTAGTTTAAGAAAAAAATGACTTATCTAGATTTTGATTTTTTCCAGTGTTCATGTTTATGCACAAAATCTTAGCTGGTTTATGACAAATTCCCTCAATATGCACGAATGTCTGCAGTGATATGATGAAGTATGAAAAGTTAATGGGGTAGGAATACTTTTTTAGGCGCTTTAACTTCCCTCCCAGCTGTCGGTGTTCCAGCTCAAAGAAAAATGGATGCAGCTGTTTTTCTCTTGCAATTGTGATGGATGATACACGCTTGGAGCCTGAAGCCGAGCTAAAGCACAGGCTGATTTTTAAAGAGCTGATCAATTATTTACAGCCTTGACTAAAATTGCTGGAAAACGGTTAATTGGTCATTAGAGGAACAAAGGCTATTGTAGGCGTTTAATTATTAAGAAGACATGTTAGGCTGGCATCTCTGAGACTCGTTGATTAGCCAAAACACAGACAAGGTAGGTGAAATAAGGTGTCGTGCAGTGGGAGCTCGTTCCAGTAATCAATACTGCTCTGAGAGAAACACATTTGATGATATTTGCCTGGATGATCAAACCTGGGTTTAGAGTTCCTCCAGAGAGGCAGAGGAGAGCTTTAGAGGGTTATGTTGGTATAGAGCTGAATGTAAGAGGCTAAAGCTCTGATAGTGGGGAGCAGAGAGATTTGAGTGGGTTGATCCCTGGACTGGGCGCAGCAGCCAAATTCATCGGCTCACTGGACACCTAGAAGAAATCAGCAGGTGGCTTCCAGTCGCCATAGAAACACTGGATGGGTCCAGGCTACACCGGGCCCAATTACTGAGCTGTGAGCCTGGACGGTCAGATTCATCGGAAAGTGGACAGTGGGGCAATAGTGTCTGTGCAGTGAGCACGGGATTTCATATACAGTATGCATTGCATCGCACCAAGGAGGAAGTCAACTGAGGAATAGGCTCGACAAAGTGGAAAAAGCAGCAACATTTTAGCAGAGAGCAGCCGTCGCCTTCATTTGATTTTCTCCAACTCTTCTTCGTTTCACACTTGTGCTCTGCAAGACTGAGCTTCGCCTCCTCTTCTGCCTAGAAGCTGAATAATTTGTTATGCATATAACTACAGGCTACACTTTAATTAGCAATCAGACTCCTTTAATTACACTCGGCGACGCCTCCTTAATTAATGGACAATCAGGACTTCATTACAAACAACACACTGCAAAGACACCGACGGGACAGAAGAGAGAGTTTGGGATAATAGCTGAGTTTACTTTGGAATGACCTAAACTGCTCTGGATGTGAGTCCATCAGTAAAGCAGGAGGAGGAGGAGGAGGAGGAGGAGGAGTCCTAAAGCTCCAGCTGTTTCTCACTTCCTTCAGCTCAAATAAGGGAAGACGAATTTCTCTTCTATTAAGCAACCTTAAATAATTGATCACACTATATCTTATTGAAACCCATATTCTAATATCTTAAAAACCTTCAATTACAATAAAAAAAATACTTAGTTCCATTGCTGGAAGAAAATATGAGAGTTAAAGTGTTTCTAAGCTCAGAAAACTCAAAAGAAACCAGGTCGTCTGCGTATGTCGCAATGAACGCGAAATACGCCCCTTCCGCAGACACTCTGGTGCACCGCTCCAAAATTGTAGGTGACCACAGCCAGCGCCTCTGATTGGTCAAAAGTACATCTGCTCTACTCTATGGGCCGGATCTATCAAAGGTTTGCGTGTATAAAAACGTGAGCTATTTCACTGCGCAC